TAGGATCTACAACATACTTCCTCAGCATCGAAACGTGAAAAATGTTATGTATAGTATCCAACGTTGGTGGTAAAGCCAACTTGTAGGCTATTGGGCCAATTCTTTCGAGGATCTCGAAAGATCCAATTAAATGCGGGCTAAGCTTTCCCCTCTTACCAAATTGCAAAACACCACGAACTGGTGCAACCTTCAAGAAAACATGGTCCCCCACCTCGAACTCTAGGTCCTTTCTCCTAATATCAGCATAACTCTTCTGACGACTTTGGGCGTCAGAATTCTCTTCCTAATCTTCTGTATCGCCTCATTGGTCGTCCGTAGCAAATCTGGTCCTAACAGCTGTTTACTACCTACTTCCTCTCAATAAATTGGAGTTCGACACCTCCGTCCATAAAGTGCCTCAAAAGAAGCCATCTGAATGGTTGCTTGATAACTATTGTTATAGGCAAATTCCACCAAATATAGGTAGGTGTCCCAACTGCTAGCAAAATCAAGTACACATGCACACAACATATCCTCGAGAAACTGATTTAATCTCTCTGTTTGTCCATCTGTCTGAGGATGGAACGTTGTACTAAATTTCAGTTATGTACCAAGGGCTTCCTGAAGACTCTTCCAGAATCGAGAGGTAAACCGTGCATCCCTATCTGATACAACAGAAACTAGTACACCATGCAACCTTACAATCTCCTTTAATACAATTGTGCTCACTTGTCAACTGAATACGAAAAGTTCCCTATTATAAAATGAGTTGTCTTAGTTAATCTATCTACAACAACCCATATCATTGTAAGCCCTGACTGGGTTCTAGGTAGTTCTATAATGAAATCCATGGTCACCTCTTCCCACTTTCACTGGACACATTTTGAGGTTGCAATAATTCAGCAGGTTTCTGTCTAGGTGCCTTAACTTGTTGACAAGTTAAACGCCTACTCACATATTCAGCAACATCTTTCTTCATCCCAGGCCACCAAAAGAATGTTTTCAAATCCTGATACATCTTTTTGGCACCTAGATGTACGGTATAGGGAGACTCTGCAACAATGTTTCAATAAATTCTAACCACATAGCATGTAGTCTGTTAAGTTTATTTTGTGCTCTCAAATGCTTTAAACTTTCATGATCCGTATAAATAACGAACTCGTTAGGCCAAAGATAATGTTGGCAGGCTTGCAATGCACGAACCAAAACATAAAGCTCTTTGTCATAAGTTGGATACCTCAAAGATGCACAAGTCAACTTTTCACTAAAGAACATTAAATGTCTTTGATTTTGCATTAATACAGCACCTATTCCTACTCCACTAACATCACAACTCAAAATTAGGTAATGCAAGCAAAGGAGCATAACTAAATTTTTCTTTCAAATTATTAAAAGCAAGTTCTTGATCTTTTTCCCATATAAATGATACATTTTTCTTAACAAGTTCATTCAAGGGTGAAGCAATTGTACTAAAATTCTTAATGAACCTACAGTAGAAACTTGCAAGACCATGAAAACTTCTTACCTCACTTACACTTGTGTAGGCCAATCTTTTATAGTTTTCACTTTCTCTTCATCAACCTCAACACCATTAAATGAAACAACAAACCCAAGAAAGTTAACTTTTTCCATGCAAAAGCTACATTTCTTTAAATTTACATACAAACATTCGTTTCTTAAAGTAGTCAAAACATTACATACATGGTAATATGACCATCTAAAGATTTAGAGTAAACAAGGATGTCATCAAAATAAACAACCACAAACTTACCTAAGTATTCTCGTAAGACATGGTTCATTAGCCTCATGAATGTACTAGGTGCATTAGTTAATCCAAAAGGCATAACCAACCATTCATAAAGACCATACTTGGTTTTAAAAGATGTTTTCCACTCATTCCCAATATGCATGCGAATTTGATGATAACCCGATTTTAAATCAATCTTAGTAAAAAGACTACATCCATGAATTCATCAAGCATATCATCTAATCTAGGAATTTGATGCCTATACTTTATAGTTATGTTGTTTATAGCCCTACAATCAACACACATACGCCAAGAACCATCTTTCTTAGGTACAAGAATAACTAGAACAGAACAAGTACTCAAACTTTCATGTACATACCCATTAGCAAGGAGTTCACTTCAGCCTCCTTTGGATGAGTCCTATATGGTGGTCGGTTTGGAATGGGCGCGCCAGGAATGAAGTCAATCTTGTGTTCAATCCCTCTAAGTGATGGCAAACTACTAGGCATCTCCTCGGAAAATAAATCTTCAAACTCTTGCAAAAGCACAACAAAATCACTAGGAAAAGAAGGGTTAAGCATGTTAGTAAAGTAACAAGACCCCTTGCACATAAGTACAAGAATAGTCCGGTTAGAGAGCAAAACATTCCTAGCCTTACTTGGTCTAACGTACAAGCTTATTGATTTGGCTTTTCTCTCTCTTGTTTTTTAGTGCTACTTTCTTACTTTTCACTTAAGCTCTTTTTTTCACTTGATTCTTTTTCAAACTCTACTTTTGCATCGGCCTCTTTGCCATTTCTTTTCAAGTTTGGAATGATCAATAAATACATCTTTTGGAGACAATGAAACAAGAGTAGTTTTTCTGCCATTGTGAGTAAAAGAGTATCAATTTGCATACCCATCATACATTACCCAACGATCAAATTTCCAAGGCCTCCCTAGTAGTAAATCTCCAACATGCATGCATACAACATCACATAAAACATCAACATATTTTCCAATAGTAAAAGAAACCAGAGCTTGTTGAGTTACCCGTACTTCCCCACAATTATTCAACAATTGAAGCTTGTACGGTCTTGGATGTGGTTGTGTCTTTAAATTAATTATTTTGACCAGAATGAAACTCACAACATTGGTGCAACTACTGCTATCAATGACAACACTACAAGGTACATATTGAACAAGACACTGAGTTTGAAATAAGTTCTCTCGTTGGTCTAGGTCATCCTCCTTAATGTGGGAGTTTAGAGCTCGTCGAGTAACCAAAGATATATGTGTAGGGTCCTCTTCACTAAACTTCTCACTCTCATCAGTTTCCTCATTTATGTCGTCATGTGCCTCTTCATCTGTAACAATTTCTCCCTCTTTTATGGTCATAATTCTTGCATTTGGGCAATCTTTACTATAGAAATTTAATATAGGTAGTTTTAAATAACTGGTTTTAAAAATATTTCATCTTTATTAGAAATTTAATACAAAAAATTATTATTTATATTTGTACTTTTATGTACTCACCCAGCTCATATTAGTGTCGTGGTTTCTAAGTCTTGTTGGATATGTCGTACTTTCGTATGTAAGTGGCATCACTTTCACACACACTGACCCTACATGTGAGATCTCACATCAGTTAGGGGGAGAGAACGAAACATTTTCTTATAAGACTTGGAAGGAAAATTCGCTAAGGAAAGTTAAAAAAGGATGATATCTGCTAGCAGTGGGCTTAAGTCGTTACTAATATAAACCACGACCAAGGAATTTTCATACCTCAAGGTCCAATTACAAAGACGAGAGCGAAGAAGCTACAACAAACCTTGTACACTTATATTCAACCTTCGATGAAAGTGCATTTAATGCATTTTTTTCTTGGAGCTCAACTTTGTACAACATATAAGAGAGATCTCCAACGTCTTCTAGAATTTCTTTTGATGAGCTCACCATAACTTGAACAAAATTGTACAAGGTTTGTTGCAACTTCTTGGCTCTCGTCCTTGTAATTGGACCTTGAGGTATGAAAATTTCTTGGTCGTGGTTCATATTATTCTCCCGCTCTAGAGAAGGATTCATCCTCGAATCCCAGCCATCACCTTCATCAAATGCTTTAATACTGTAACGACCCCACAAGAGTCATAGAAAGGAATGCGAATATAAACTTTTTTCATGTCTATATAAATTACAGACATGCATGAGGTTCCCCAAATATAAAATATCAGTTCATTTGATAAATCATTTAAAAAGTTAATAATGTTTATATTAATCACATGACTAACATATTCGTATAAAAATGACATCATGACATCACATACAACAAAAAAATTCATCCGAACAAGCATTATATTATTCCAATAATAAATTCATACAACGGCATTTTGGTAAAATATACAGTCTATGATACAATTTTTGTAAATGAGATCAGACCCATGAATGAGTATTGTTATACTAATTCACGTGCTACTCTAAGCTACATGATTGGGACAAATGTGTACACGAGTTATAGGAGTTTAGATAGATCCGAATTATAATTAATATTCCTTTGAGTTCTAAAGCATTTTCTAAATGAATTCTTACTTAAATGACTTAAACGCGTAATTATTGATATCGTAGTTTATGACCATTAATTAACAAGTCGATCGACGTGTCACAATTGACTAATATATATAAAATATAAGTTGATTATTTATGAAATAAAAACTGGAAACAAAAAAAACATAAGAAAATTAAACAACATTCTTAACCAAGATCAAAGCCTACAATTTTCATTAACATATATGAACAAGAGAAAAAAACCCAAAAAATTAATAGCCATTGATAAACCCAACAAAAGATCTCAACGGTTAATATTGGTTGTTAGGTTCAGCCAAAACCCTAGCGTAGTTTCAAAAGACGAACTTCTAGACCAAACATATCATTAGCCTGAAGCCGAATACGACATCGTTTCAATACTCAAGGAGTTCGAGGCTTCTTCGGGCTTCCACCATTATGATGCAAAGGGTCAGGTCCGGACGGTACCCTCCGCAACTGATCCCACTCCACCGACGGCCGCCGTCTCTCGCCGCCGTCAACTTCCAATTCCTTAACCATCTCTCGAAGCATCTGTAACGTAAAAAAAATGAGTCAAAAGTCCAATTAGTAGGGAAGAATCATAATTTATAATCAAATAATACGATCTGTCTAAGACTTTTTTGGAGAGGGTAAAGTTGAGTTTATGCTCTAAGCGAACAATATCATACTACTGCGAAGAGTCGTGTTCATCTAAATAACCAGGCCATACATCACCCTTGGGCAAGTAAATTAAAATAACGTCGGACACCTCCAGCTACCCTGTGGCACATACGTGTATCACAGTGCGGGCAAGCGTGCAGAGACGAGTGTCTCGAGCGACTTCCTTTGAAATGGGTTTTTCAAAGATAGTATCGGGTGGCCTGAGTGTGCCGGTATTGCACCTCAGCCCGCGTTTTGGAGGTTGCTACATATGGACCATATCGATGGGGATCGAGATGACAAGATAAGATGCGACGTTGCATTGAGATACCTTCACCCTGAGTAAAGGCCATAAGAGTCTATACTTAAAAGTGGACAATATCATACAACTACGGAGAGTAGTATTCATCTAACCAAATTCAATAGTAAGTAGTACATACAATTTGCATAGGTGTGTCTCAAAACCTTACCTTCCGGGTCTGCAGCGCTCGGAGGAGAGGCGGGGTACCGGAAATGCAGCGGCGGCATGTGACTGTGGAAGCAGAAGAGAAATTGTGGGAAAGGAAGAAAATGAGAAGGAGAAGGGAGAAGATGAGCTTAGAGGGAGCCATTAAAGAAGGTGTGGGAAGAAGAAGAAAAGGAAGGGTAAATTTATAGAAGGGAAGAGAAGAGTCAATGATTGCCCAAGCAGCCATTTGTGGCGAAATTATGATTAGTGACTCAATATGACAAAAGCACGATGGTGACCATCAAACGCCGATATGCATCATCATCATCATCGCTCCCCCGACCTCTTCATTTTTCTGTCACTGTCTATGCCTATCTTCCATTAAGATCCACCATATTTATTATTATCTTTTTACAAAATATTAGTACATTTTAATTAACAACCCCATTAAATGTTTGTCTTAAATTTTTGTTTTTTTTTTCTTTTCTTTTTTTTTTTTTTTTTTTTTTTTTTTTTTTTTTTTTTTTTTGATGCTAGTCGGGTTATTCTGACGAGCAAGCTATGTAAGATACATAGGAACGATGCATACCTAATAACGGGAAAGATGCAATCTAAAGATCGTCCTTGCAATTGCACAACTCCTATGTGTTCATTCCAAAATCACTACCTACTTAATAATCTGCAAAAACAAAAAATAGTGACGGTTGGGTCTCAACTTCTATTCAACGTCCTTAATGCTGTGTAAATATTATCATTCAGCTCTCTCTTGGTTCATACATACCTCAACCTTCCCCTTCTAGGGTATAATTCATTAGGCCCTGTCTCGCTTATAATTCATTTGAATCTTGTAGTCCTTATTCTAAGGCATAATTGGAGTTATTCAAAGTTTTAAGTGCCTTTAGCCAATCAAATATATCACTTTAGTCCTTATAAGTTCTTATGCGTCATGCGTAAAAGAACTAGGTGCTCTAATCAAATATTGGGCTCTATGATGGATGTAACAGGTATCAATCAAATCGTTATGATCTCTCTAATAGGTTCCAACGTTCATACATACACATTCGTTGGGTTCCTACCACCTATAATTCCTTAGTATATGTGGGAGGCCCTTTACGTGTGTGGAGGTGTGTAAGCGGATGTGGTGAGCTTCTCATTTAACTAATATTAAACTTTTGTAAAGTAATATTGTAGGGATCAATAAAACATGCTTGCATACAGACATATCTTGTCTAACGTAGTTAGAATATGCATGATTAGGACTCTGGATGAGAAATTGGGGAGCATGCTATGTAAAATAAAATTACTAAAATACCCATAGAATGAGACTTTTCTTTATACATGTTAATCTTAATGCATTATGATGTATTAGAATGGAGGATTTGATATTATGATATGTGCTCTAGGTGATTGATGGATGTTATCTATTCCATTTTACTAGTATGAATGTATGATATAGTATGTTTAGCTCTAGTTGATTGATTGTATGTTCTTCCTATAAACCGCATTTATTTGCTACTAGAGTCTGATTGACTACACAATGTCCTAGATCAAGATGTCTCCAATAGAATGAGTACCTTAGGATCGTGAGCGGATATCAAGAATTTAAATCCTAATACTCTAAGACTAAAGAAGACTTGAGGAATCATAATAGAGTACCCTTGAGTTGATAGTGTAGTACATCGAGGCGACCATGTGCCACTATCGCGTGTGGAAACAGACATTGGACTCCTTAATAGGCTCATTGTACTGCAAAACCGGCCTTGAGAGGGGCAAAGAACCATACATGTGTCTTGCACTTTTTCGTTTTAATTTTGATTTGGGTGATTCAAAATTCATTGGAATCGTCATTCCAAGCCTTATACTTTGAACACTTCAAAAGACTGAAATTATTAGTAATTAAAAGCATGTTTGTTATCATCAAAATATTAATTAATTTGAGATGAAAGATCATTTAAGTTGGAAAACATTCAAGAGTTGTGCGATCACAGAGGGGATCGTCACATGGCACAGTCTGTTTCGTATTTTCGGTCTTTTATATTTTGTTGGTAAATATATCCTAAATTTGCTATCCATTTCTAATAATCTTGAATGACTTAGTATTTGAATTTCATTTTAAATTGTTGTATTGTTTGAATTTGATTTAAATTTTATCATATTTTCCTATTTCATTTTATTTACTATTTACTTGACAAAAACTCTCTTGATTTATTTCTTCTTTCTTCGTCTCTCTTTTTTTAAGAACTCTAATTTTATTTGCAATATCTAATTTTAACAGAACTTACTCTTAGTTTTTATTTCTTTCTTTTTTTACATATAGGATGTAGCTCAGATAGTAGAGCGTAGCAGTGTACATTCAACCCGGAACAACCCAATCCAAACTATAAGAGTGAGTTGGGTTAATTTTCCTCAACTCAAATTTCGAGTTCGGGGGGACAAACCCTCGAATTGACCCGAACAACCCAATCTAAAATAAATATAAAATTATATTAAAAATCTTATAGAAATAATGAGTTTACCAAAGTGGTATTTTGGCCAGTATAGCGGCCAGCTCGGGTTGTTTTTTTTTTTTTTTTTTTTTTTTTT